TGCCACTAATCCAAACTCTTTCAAAGGAAGGCAGTCAAGGGGGAGAGAGATGGGTGTAAGCATGCCTTGTAGCTCGTTGTCAAGGTCTCTCCCTTTGAGAGGCAATCTTTTCTCTCTAATGGATGCATTTGTTTGGGTTTGAAGAATGAACAGAGTTTGTAAATAGACTTTCAGCCTCTGTGTATTATGCACAAAATATTCACCTGTGCTTGAAAATGTCAGACATGGTAGTTAGAGAAATTTAGATTTGCTGTCTAAAATAGAGCTGAAGGCTGAGACGGGCTCCTTTTTTTTATGCTTTATCCTGCCTTTTCTGTGAATCTCCCCTTCACAGCTGAAGTAGACTTAGCAGGTCAGAGTAATACTGAATCAAACTGCAGCTTTCATCATGATTCCTGTGATTTCTTTTAGTTTTGTGGGGAAAAAAGTTTGACATCGAGTTTATGTTTACTGTTCTTGGTTCTGCATCTCACTCTTTCTTTTTGCTCCCTTTTCCCTCCAGAGACTGCTGTTATCCAGCTGTCTGTGTGGGTTGACTGCACCAGCCATCATGCTGCAATACGCGCACTCACACACACACACGCACACAGGGTTGTCTCCCTACCACCCATCTCACATAGATAGGGTGGGAGAGTTGGGGGTGGGGGGGCTCAGCATGACATCCAAACGTCACCCTGGGCGACATGTTGGAAAGCATCAACATACATGTATTCCTCACTGGGTGTGCACAAACACAATCATGCATGACCCGTGTATGAGGAACCTACATAGACACACATGGTTCAGTGCAACAGTGCCTGTCTGCATACTCACGTCTATAGCTGTTAGAGGCAACTCCAAAAACAGTATCTTGAAAGGCATGGAGGGAGGGAGGGAGCTTAGGGTGAGGAGTGGGCTGGTGTGTTGGAAGTAAGGGGAAGAACATCCCACTGGAGGACAGGCAACTGAGGAGGAGTGAAGGGGAGAGGGGTGAAGGAAATCTTTGATGTGCTGTGATGGCCCAGTTGCTGATTTGGCTCTTCCTCCACTTATTTATCCTGATCGTTCGCTCCGTTTCATCCTCTGTTGACTCCACACTTCCCTCGCTCCTACCTAATAACAGGCCTATTGCTGGCTGAGATTGTCACTGTTTGGCAGTCCAGAGCACACTCACTCGCAGAAGTATTTAGGCTCTGTGGTTTCATGGAGGTCTTGCTTATGAGGCTCCAGTGGGACTAGGGTTTGAGGTCTAATTAGAGCCACAGCATTTAAAGATTTGGTTGTGGTTGCCTGCTAAAAATGCATAAAATGAGTCATGCATGAAAGTCTTTTATGTACTTAAAGGTGCATCAGCTAAAATTTTACACATATTCTGATAAGTCAAGTGAAAACCGGACAGTCATCTCTATAACCTTCTGTTGTTATTCTAGCGTCTCTACCCAGTGTTTTCTATGTATGTCCATCTAGCAAAGGTCACATACACATGTCCAGTCAACTGAGTTAAAGATGTTTCCTTGTTAGATCTGTTACATTTAGGTTTGGAGGCAGAGTTCACTGGCACAAGTTAAAATCGGTTATTAATCATTTGTGACCACTGTTTTAATTTCCCAGAATGCCTCTGGACAAATCTCAGCGAATGTGACCGAACATCTTAAACTTGTTGGTGCACAAAGTGTCACAACACACTGCCAATCCAGCACATTTGGTCCTGGGCAAATTTCCAATGGCGAATTATTTATTTTTTTTGATAAATTAAATTTTATTTATTTATTGGCATTTCTAATATGAGTTCATGGACACTGTTCAGTGAATCCAGAAAGAAAAGATTTGGAAAACGAATTGATAATGACTAAGGCTAAAGTGAAGCCAAAATTGAACACCTTTTTTTTTTAATGCTCGTGTGCTGGTCAAAAGACATAGCTGATGAGTCATATAATCAACTTGTACATTTTCAATGGGCCTTGCTTTCAGCTCAGATGACACTTTGTTACAGAGAAACTCAGCTGTATGTTGGACAGTGAAAGAAAGCTGAATGCAGAGTGGTAAAGCTGTGACAGCCTGTGCTAACAGCAAAATCTTACATTCTCATAGCCTCTCAACAATGCTTCCATTTTTTTGTGTAAGATGATTGCGTAATTGCTGACATTACCACTATATCAGCCATGTTTTCCCTCCGCGATGCTCAGTGTGGAGTCATTTTCTCTCCAACTATCTGGGATTTACCATGAGGGTGTACGGCGAGCGCTCTATGCTGTAATTAAGACTGCTTTCTTTTAATTATCATAACACATGTCAGTAGCCTTTGGCTAAGAGCCTATGAAGTGTGACTGCTGACCTTCTCTCTTCTCCCATGAGAAGCAGAGAAAGTGGTCTTTGTTTTTTCATCTTATTCATTGTTTTCTTTTCCTTCTTCATACTCATTGTTCTAATCCTCCTGTACCCACCTCCGCTCTCTTCCTCTCTTCTTTTCTCATCCATTGGCCTCACTTCTTGTCTCCACCTTACCCCACATTATCATGTTTCCTCCCATTTTTTCCTCTCAGCCCACTCACCCATTTTTTAGCTCCATGTACGTCTACAGTCCCTATAAAAAGTATTCACCCCCTTGGATGGTTTACCCTTTTATTGATTTTATAAATCAATCATGAAAAATATAATTTGGATTTTTTGACAAAAACAATAACAAAAAAACGTTTTAATGTCAAAGTGAAAACAGGTTTCAGCAAAGTAATGTTAATTTAAAAATATGTAATGGGAAATAAGTGATTGCATAAATATTCACCCTTTAAAATGACTGACCTAATTCAACAGAGGTCCAGCCAATTGGTGCTAGTAGTCTCACAGTGAAATGGGGACCACCAGAGTGCAGTGAATGTGTCTCAAGTGATTGTGATATAAAGACACGCGTCTGGAAGGTCCAGTCACTGGTTAATCAGTATTCCTGGCTACCATTACACCATGAAGACAAATGAACACTCCAAGCAACTTGGAGAAAAGGTTATTGAAAAGTACAAGTCAGGGGATGGATACAAAAACATTTCCAAGGCACTGAACATCCCCTGGAATGACGGTGTCTGTGCTGAAGTGCTTGCCACAGCCAGAACAAATGGCTCGCCTCAGCTTCCATTTCTCCTGTGTTATTCTACATTTGCAGGGTGTAATGAGATGCATTTATAGCTGCTCACAGCATGAATCTACACGACACAATCGGAGACTCTTTGAATCCCAGCATGTCCAACAGCTTATACTGGCCTGTTTGAAGCTCCCCTGATTTTACCATAGCCTTGCAGCTTTACATAAAAAATGACATTAAGAGCCTGAAAAAGGCGGCAACCAGCAGGCCCTGGATGGTCATTGCAGCCTACAAGCTATGAGGTGAAGCAGATTAGATACATTTATTGATAAGCAGTAAAATCCTCTCTAATTGCCAATACGGTTTTAGGTCAAACCGATCGACATCTCTGGCCATTACCGACCTGATGGTGGACATTACAAGTGCTCTGGATGAGAAGAAATACACGATGTGTATATTTATTGACCTAAAAAAAGCATTTGACACAATCAATCATGAATTATTAATGGACAAGTTCGAAAAATATGGGGTCAGAGGAATGGTTCTGAAATGGATTAGAAGTTATTTGACACAGAGGTGTCAATTTGTGAAGTTGGGTGAATACCAATCGAGTGA